ATTTATTAATAAATATATGTCGGTTCTTTCTATCGAATTTACTGATTTTAGGCTTGCCAACCGCTCAACCCTCAGATTCGTTAGGAATAGAGTCTCCCAGAAGTGCATATATTCTCCCGGCTCACGCATGCTATAAAAATCTCCCGGGTTCTTAAGAAATTATATAGGAAAACGGAACAAAGCTTCTTCAAATTTTTGCTGCTTGAAAACAAAAATAAAATAGCGAATTGAGTAACGTAGGAGCTGCTCGCAAGTACACTCCGTGAACAATCTATATAAATATAATAGTACTGTCTGCTGTATGTCCATGTAACTACTTAGCAGGGTATAGATGAATCTTCACCCAAATTGGTATGAAAGTTCATTAAGTCCACGCGGGGGTTCGTAAAAATGTCCAGTTTTACGTTTTGCAGTTTTTATGGGCGTTTTTGCGTTGTTTACCACTACTTCGCCCCCTGTATATGGATCATCACCAAATTTGGTAAGGAGGTTCACTGGCTCCATGGGGAGATACATACAACTTTTCAGTGTTGTAATGGCTGAAGACGGCTTGAATGGGTAATGAAGAAAAACTTTAATACAAGTTTAACATAACAGCATATGTACAACGTTTCGACATCATCAGTGTTGTATTTTGCTGTTTTTACGGGCGTTTCTGTTTTTTGTTTTTTTAATTACATATAAGGGAATCAACTTTTCATATTGTAAAATAATCTTTCATTAATCATGAATCTACATAACTTCCGTACAGGGGACAGGTACTCCAGCTAGTTTTTATTATTTTTCAGTATCTTATCTAACCCAATACGTTTCTAATTTTTATATTTTATTTACTTTTATAATTATAAAATTATAATAATAAGTTTTTGTCTGTCCTGAAAATACGCACGCACCTTACTAATACTATCTAAACGCATGCGGATGTAAATATAGCAGACATTTTATCTATATAAATATAATAGTACTGTCTGTTGTATGTCCATGCAATTACTTCGCAGGGAGTAGATGGATCTTCATCATGACTGGTATGGAGGTTCATTAAGTCCACGCGGGGGTACTTACAAATGTTTAGTATTGCATTTTGCGGTTTTTATGGGCGTTTTTGTGTTTTTTTTACCACTGCCTCACCACCTGTGGAAAGACCTTCATCAAATTTGCTAATGAGGTTCATGGGATCCTTGGGGAGATACATAAAAATGTTCAGTTCTGCATTTTGCGTTTTTTATTGGCGTTTTATACAATTACATATATTATAAAGGAAGCAACTTTTCATGTCCTAAGACAAGCCTTCTATTAATCATGAATTTACATAACTTCCGTCCATGGGGCGAGTACTCTAGCTGGAACAACAACATATTAAAAGCTTATCAAAGTTTTTAAAAAGGTCTAACGTTGGGTGGTTGATAAACATTATATATTTATTTATTGATAGTACTGAGTACGGTAAAATTCAGCCCTAACTACACTAAATTAATCTAAAGCAAGAAATGTGCACAAGTTAGCGGTAATTTCTCCGTTTTATTTAAAGGCTTTATCGAATTTGGCCTTACTTAATACAAGCTTAACTAATCTTAGGCCTAAGATAAGTGGATTTATAGATTTCGATGTCTGCGAATAGAATTCTTTTGTTTTATTACAGAAATCCTGTATTTAAAGAAGTACTGTTGCAATAAAGATACTAATTTGACCGCAAACGTTTTGCGAGTTTCTGCTATTAATAAATAAAAAACACACATGAAAAGCAAGAAATATAGTACTTACACGAGTCCCCTTTTTTTGCTGTCGATCAAACTTACCCAACTATTTTTATAGTAACAGTACTACTATACTAAATATTTTTTTTTTATCTAATTAAATACTGCACCTAAAAACACAGAATAATAGCAAGCACAAAGCAAACAATGGCCTAAAACTATCACACTTTTCTGGCTTTCTACCTATGCATTAAGAGCATTTAAAAATTAATCTAATCTTGTAAATCCTGTGAGAAAAACTTTCAAACTGGTGATGAAATAAACAATTATATACACAGAAAACAACGTAATATAACAAGCCATTTGATAAATTAAAACTTTGGCTTTCTAGTGTTTATAAATAATATTGTATAAAACGGTGGCAAACAAAAGTCTATTTGGAGTGCTCTTTGTAAGTAGTATGCTAAAGGTGAATAACCGACAACATTAAGATAACATAGGGACTTCAAGACTGTCTGTGCAAACCTACAGTGCAGAAATAGTAAAACTAAAACCACCTGTTGCGTCAGC